ATTTAGCGTACGTCAAAAATAAGAAGGCAATTAGAAGTAACTTTATAGCATTCCAGAAAAAACTGAAGAACAAATTCTTTCAAATCTCAAAAAAAAGAAAAAGAACAAAAACATTAAAGATCAAATGTTTGTAACAACCAAAACTATTTGTAATATCATTTTCATAAATTTATACTGCAAATTTTCTTATTACACATAAGAATAGAAGTGTATTGTGATAAAATGGATTGTCATTTTGTTCGAAATTAATGCCAAAATTATTTTAAAATTATTATATTAAAATTATATTATTTTCAGATATTCAGAACATATTTTTTCTTAGTTATTTCGTTTCAATTTTGGATAGTATTTAAATTTTCCCAGACCTGGTATGTCATCTCATATGCAATCATAATATATTTTTTGTTTCTTTCTTCAGCTTTTCAGTCAAATAGTAATGCTTTTAGTGATGTAACTGTTCATAATTCCTCAACTATACCACAAACTGAATTCTTAACTCTCTTCACTTGCCTTTAATATGTTATTTCACGTTGAATATTCAAATTTGGTCATTTCTCAAACTTTTTCCAGAAAGAAATTTAAAATATTCATGTAAATCAATCGAAAATTTGTTCATTATTAGGTTAGAAGGGAATACCTAACAGGTGACACCTGAACAAATGACACAAAGGTGACAGCCCATTTCACCATTTAACTATTCTATTTTTCATGTACTTGCGCGAGCCATCTTTCACCGACAAAAATTGGAGAGCTCAAATTCGGTATACGATTTTTGGTAAATTCTTAATTAAAATCATTGTGATGCTAAATTTGAAAATTATTTACTCATTTAATCTGTTTAAGTAATTAATGATTAGGTATTCGCTGAATTCGTTACTCAATTAATTTTGTATGGCATTACTAGTGAATGGAATGAAGCTAATGATATTAATATATCAACTAATTTAAATATACCAATTAATTGATCCATTGGTACTTGAAATAATTTAAATCATCGAGGACCTTGTTCGGATTGTCAGATTTGCTAATAATTGTCTTTTCATTTTTTTTTTTTGAAATGAAATATTTTAATTTTTGAAGTTATTAAGAATATATATATCTATGATAGCTTAACTATGTGCAGATGCAAAAATTGGTTGCAGGGAAATTGCTTATAATATTGGCTCTAAGACTGTTTTCATCTATCTGTTGGCTATATATCCGTGTAACCATTACTGAACTATATTAAGGAATTGATTTTTCCGATATTTCTAGGATATCTAACGTTAATCAGCAACTATGCTAAATATGAATTCAAAGATCCGCATTTTTTAATTTCTAAATAGGAATTAACTTATTTAAAGTTTAAGAAAGGCGGACTTTCTTAACATGTGTTCAAGCATTTCCATATACTTATGCACATTTTCATATCTCATTGTTTCATTTTCAGGAAGCCTGTTTTGGTTGCTTTCACAATTAATCGTAATGGCAGACCGACGTAAAGGTGGAAGAAAAAAAACCACTGATGTAAGTGCTATTTTGATGTATACATATATATGGATAGATTATGGAAATCGATAGCGAACGAATAAGGAATTGAATAAAATCAAGGGATCATTAGTATAATTTTGCCAAGTCATTTGGAATGCTATTTTCCATTGTGGATTCTGCCTAAATATCTTTCTTCAATTATGCTAATTTTTTGAATCAAGTCATATTATTTAACGGAAAGTTAAAATATTGCTAAATGGAATAGTTTCACTTGTTTTTTTTTTCTTTTTTTTTCAGGGGAATCAAAAGTTGACGAAAGAGGAAGATACTATTGCGCGTTACGTTCGATTCAATTGTCCAACAAAAACAACGATGTTTGAAGGCAATGAAGTACATTATTTTACTGGTATTAGTTTCCTTTCCTATTATTTTTTTTTTTTTTTTTTTTTTTTTTTTTTTGAGAGATTTTGCAGAATTGGGCAGATTCATTTTTATTTTGCAGAAAATAGAAAATCGAAAAAAAAGCGAATGGGAGAATCATACTGTGTTTTATAAAACTGGATCACATGATAGGACACATGATAAACTGGTTCAGTTCACTTATTTTTAAGTGATTCCGGTTGAGCTTAAATTGTGAACAGTTTAAGGTACAAAAGCAGTTGATACATTGTATGAATCCAAGAAATACGGTCATGCAGCGAAAAATGTGAAATTCACTACACGTCAAGCAGCTGTCATATTTATGCGGTCGCTTCTGGAAAAAGGTCTATTTTTCCGAGCAAGGAAGCTAGTTCCAAAGAAAAAGGACGATAAGAAGGTTGTGTTTAATGTTTATTTAAAGATAACATAATATTTTCATGTTCTGCCTATTTATTTTCGCGATACAGTTTGTAAGTTATCGAATATTACAATTTTAGGATCAAAAAGAAAGAGGAGTCGATGTGAGCAAATCACCAAAAAAAAAATCAAGTAAAAATGATCAAGCTGAAAGAGAAAAAGAAAAGGAAAGAGAGAAACATAAGGAAGAAAAGAAAGAAGAAAGTGATGATAACGACGAAGAGAATGGAAAGGAAAAAGACAAGAAGAAAGTCAGTTTTTTATTTTAATGCTTACTATGGAATATAATTTACCATTCTCATGTTATATTTCCAGGAAGAGGAAGAGAAGAAAAAGCGTAAAATTAAATTAGAGCTTCATCAAGAGCAGTCATTTAATGATGCAAACGATGTGTATGTTTGGATTTTCGATCCAACACCTTTATACAAGAAAATTATTGGTGCTCTTATGGGTTAGTTTGTCGTTTATTGTTCTAAAACTTAAATTGTGGACAGTTTAAGGTAGAACTTAACGATATCATAGCTGCATACAATTATGAATAAGAGATTATTGACTTCTCTTTCTGTTGGTGTTTGGACTTGATCAATATCAAAAAGAAACTCAATTCGGAGTAGGAGAATCAATGTTGGATGTAGGAATTACTATACCTTATTCTTGCCTTTTTCTGTTAATTTACGTTATGTTTATCTAGTAATGATATTTAACGCATTTTATTTTTTTTTAATCCCATTTAGCGATAAATAATGTTATTAAGTGAAGGATTATGCGGTTTTTTTTCTTTTCAAATCCTGTTTTGCACCTAATTTTGATCTGAAAATATTTTTCGAGACCTTCACTTAATAACATTTTTATGCATTTTATAAAAACCATTTTTCTTTTATTCGTAGAGTGAAGAATAGTGTCTGAGAAGTCATAAATTCAAAAAGAGGAAAACAAGCATATGGAATGATTCATCATAAATTATTTTAGTACTGGGTACCATTGCGGGTTGTTTATTCCCTCTTTGGCCGATGTGGTTACGTCAAGGCGTTTATTATTTATCAGTTTGTGGATTAGCTTGCTTTGGATTGCTCATTGGTGTTGCAGTAGGTGAATTAAATTTTCACTTTTATTCATTTTTATATACTTTTATTAGAGAAGAAATTTATAGATTTTTTTTTTATATATTTTATTGAATTGTTACAGCTCGGACGATATTATTTGCCATAATCTGGGCAGTGACAATGGGCAAACATAAATTGTGGTTACTACCTAATTTAACGGAAGACTGTGGATTCTTTGAATCATTCCAACCTTGGTATACTTACGAGTATTGCTCAAGTGGTAACGCTGCAAGTAGTAAGAAAAAAAAACGTGATGGGAAGAAAAAATCAGGCAAGTTTTTTTTTTTTTTTTAGTGTAATTTGAATTAGATTCTTATAATAGATACATCGATGTCATATGTTTTTTATTGATCCCAATAATATTTTAGCAATTGAATAATATTTAATTCAGATAGCGAAGAACCTTTGGTGAGTGAAAAAGAGATGAAGAGTGGTGATAGTAGCAGTCAGGCAACTGAAATAAATAAAAAAGTCGGCGACGAAAAGCAGTCCCGAAGAAAAGAAAGTGGAGATGAAAATGCTGATTTAGGCAATGGTAATGAAAATGATGAAACAGATGAAGAAGGGGATACTACTTCGGATTCGGATGGTCGAAGCAGTCAGGTTATTAACACTTCATTTTTAAAATTTTGTCCTTTTCAAATCTCATAAAGTTTCGCAACTATCAGTGGGAATAGAAAAAAAAGCAAAAACAAAAACTTTTGCTCCTAATTTTATGATTTCTTCCTGTCATTTCTTCCTAGTTCTCACTATTTATTTAGCCTCTAGTTACTAAATCGCAATGTTATTTTTAAATCGTATTCTGGATTTTAGTAATAGTGGTCTACATTTTTCAAGATAATGGAAAATTTTTGTGAACTGATGATAAGACAATAGGAATAGATAGTGTTGTGAAAAAATCGATCATATTTTTAAGTAAATGACTCGTGTACAGATTTTTGCTAAGATTTAATTTCTGTTTCAGGAAACGAATGGTTCATTAAATAATGGTGCTGATACTGGAAGTGGCGGTAATGGTAGTGATGACCCTAAGATACGGTTAAGACGACGTGCTAGGAAAGCAGATGATGATTTCGTACTTGTTGATAAATGATTCCGGTGTGATTAAATATTACCTATTTAAATTTATTCTATTCCACTTTTTAACTTCCATATTCCAGGGATAACACAAAAAAATAGGATATTGAAAGAGCAAAAGTCATTATTCTTGCAATTTTTCAATTGATATTTAAAGAAAAAAAATGCTCTAATGCTTCGAAAAGAAGAAGATCAAATTTTTTTGTCTTAAATGATTTGTAAATAGATAAGATTGGATTCTTTCATCAGACTCATCAAATATTTTGAACATTTTATTTGCATTATTTCATTAAATCGTAATTTGTAACCTAATCATGATTAAATGATATATAATTTGGTTTTAGATATAATTTGGTTTTTGTGAATCCTCGAGATAATATCCTGTTTTATGTTAAATTCCTTTAAATTTCTTTTAGCTGCCTATTTGTTCTCATAACATTTCCAATTTGATTGTATTCATTTTATATTAAAAAAAAAAAAAAAAAAAGTCCAGAGTGTAAAAGAATCTCTTTGTCAATTTTTTTTCCTTCTTGCATGCATAAATTGGTGTTTTTTTTTCTTTCTTTTGCCATATACTTTTGTTACGGTGTAAATACTGTAATTAAGTGATGCTTTTCAAATAATTCATTTAAGCAAACTTTCTATTTTTAACTTATTGCATATATATATATATTTATGTTGTAGGAATGACTTTTATATATCATATATTCCTGTCATGAATAGATTTTATCATTGATTCTCTTACATGCATGGAACATGAACGATGAAAGAAAAGTTAGTTTCTTCAGAAGCTAATCTTTCTCAGTAATGTAAACATTAATGACAAATGATTTGATGAATAGTGTACTAATAAATGATAAAATAATTATGGTTAGTTTGTTTTTAGAATTATACTAAAGTTTTTTTTTTCTAGTTAAATTTAAGCTTTGTAGATACATTTAGTTAATTTAATGGTATAATTTTGACTAGTCAATTTCTTTAACAAAATAATTTCTTATCTTTATTCTAATCCCTTTTCCAAGCACTTTTTTTTCTAATTTTAATAAAACAAAAAATTAATGAAAGGTATGATATTGAATTAATTCATACTGTTTATAGGTATATAGATTTCAAATAAGATAATAATTATGATTAAATTAATTGGGCTTAATAATATAATTCTTCTTTCCACTGCACATTTTTCAAAGTTTTGCTTTTCTCCAAAAGAAAAAAAGCAAAAAATAAAGATCTAAGTGAGAAGATATCTTCGAAATTTTATGAACTCTTCATTACAAATAAATATGTAATGCTTTTATTTACAGTTTTTATTTATGATTCAAAATTTCATTTTCATTTTGTTATTTCTTAATTTGTTTAAGTAATCAATTATGGTAATTTTAATTACTTTAATTTAGCAGTAAGAATAATCGTTTTAGTTGGAATTTGTTGAGCTTTTGCTCGTTGCCAACATAATAATGCATTAGCATCATTAATACACCATTGCATACCAACCAATGTATAAATTATAAGGAAACGATCCTGAAATAAATTAAAATATTGTTTCTATTGAAATTTATACTCTAAACAATGACTAAAGTAAGTATTTAATATATTTTATTATTTTATTTAATATATATACTTTTTTATCCAATGTATAAAGTTTATATTATAAAGTACTAATATATTTTATTATGAGTTTTTCAAGGAAAATACAAAATTTCATACTATATTTTAATATTTTTCAAAAAAAAAAGCAAAAAAAAATTTTGATAAAATAAAATTTCTATTGAAATTTTTACTGCAATTTCTTCATTAGTTTATGTAACATCTAAAAATGATATTTTCAAAGTTGAAAAATATAATTCAATTCTATAAATTATCGTAATTTTAGTAGTAATATTTCTTTTTTTTTTCGCCGCACTACAAAATATCCTTCTAATGCTACCAATAAGTATGATTACAAATAAAATTAAAAATTTTTTTGGAGTTAAAAACTCCAAGAAGGTTCGAAACTGTAATATATTTTGTAATATATAAAAATCATAAAAATTTTTGAAATTAAAAACTTCAAAAATTTCATAAATTCATTTTAAGTAAGTAAATAATTTAGCATAAATTTTGAGTCATTTCATAACTATATAAAAAATTATGTACATAAATTGAAAAAAAGAATTCGTTTAAAAAAAAAAGTGCAAATAATTTATAAAATTAAATATTTGCTTAAATTGCTTTCAATTTTAATTTCAATTTGGAAATGTCAAAAAATTTTTTAGATATAAAAAAAGTATGAAACCGTCGCGTTAATTTCACAGTTATGACGATATACTAAGATGACTGTTTCACGTTCCGGACGTAATATTCCGGCGCAGTCTAGAATACTGATTCGATAATTTGACGTACACTTAATCTAAAGCTATTTCTTTTAATTTGAAATATTTGAATTGAAATTACTTTGTATAACTTATATGGTAATTTAATAAACTAATTTTAATGTAAAGCAATTAAATATTAAATGTTTGAAAATGATTGCTCTTATTATTTTTAAATAATTAATTAATTTTTTGGGTGATTAGTCAAGCATTATTGACTTAAGAATTTTAAATAATAGAAATTTCTTTTTTAGTTCTCTAAGCATTTTTTTTTTTTTTTTGAAACTTGTTGACAAATCTTATTAGTCAGTTTGTTTACATAACAAACATTTCAACAATTAATGTAATTGTTATCAAAATAATTCAATTCACTAAAAACTTTTTTTGCTAAAAAAAAAGTATAAAAAGTATTTTAACTAAAAAAAAAGTATTACTTAATAATTTATAAAATCATCCAATTATAAATTATGTTAATTAATACTTTATAATTATTAAAATATTCATTAACATTTATCTTGCCTTATAAAGAACAGGGAAATTGCTTGAATTACGTAGTGTTATTGTTGATGAATCATTTAATTTTAACTGAAAAAAATTTTTAAAAATTTGTCCTTCAAATTAATTTACAGTTTTTTTTTTAATAAAAATCAATATCCAATTTATTTCAAAGAGCTATTAAATTTAACATTTGATATATAATTATCATCAAAAATATTTGCTTTATGTACTAAATTAAGTACTAAATTATAAATTTGCTAATCAGTCAAAAATTAATTACACAATTACTCAGCAATTAATTAAATTAAACTTTTCTCTCTCAGTATTTAACTAAATTAAATTAAATTTTTAACTTCTACAGTCAATTATTTAATTCTTTCCTGTCTTATTCAAAAGCAAAATTCATTATTTGTTCAGATAATAATTTAAAATTATCAATTTATTCGTATATCTTTTTTCTAAATTAGTAAATTAATTCTTATAATTATTACTAAACTAACAGAATTTATACTTAATTATACTTATTAGCATACTTAATATTAATTGCTTACAGTAATAACTGATGGCAGTACATGAAAACCTTTGTAATTTTGTGGTATCTTTGGAAATTCATCCATACCAAATGCTTCAATTGCACCACACTCACTCATAGCTATTTAAAAAAATAATTTTTAATTGAAAAATTAAATTTCATTTATAATAAAAGAAATAAATGATTTAAACATTTTTTAACTTTATTTAAATATTTTTTGTTTTTTAATAAATATTTCCATTTATTATTTGTCATAAAAAAAAAAAATGCAAGAAGAATTTTTTGCTATGTAAATTTAATTATACAATAAGATAAATTTTTATTGATACAATAAAAATTTTTAAATGACATTGATAAAATGTATAAATGAAATGAAAAAAGAGATTATACACTGATAAATGATAAAATAGATATTAAGACAAAACATGCAAAAAAAAAAAAAAAAACTATACCTTTTTTTAAATGGAATTATGAATTAATGAGGTTTTCTAAAATATAATACGCTACGTGTTTTACGTGAAGTTATTTTAACTGTTTTGATTCTCGTTCCATGAAAACACCTTTAATGATAGCTTCCGAAGTTGCTGTCATAAGTAAATTTCCTGTTATTGTCCATAAATGATGTTGAATAAATGCTCTACCACATTCTGAAAAAAAAAATTTTTTTTAATTTTGTAATTAATTAAAATAAAAAATTGAAAAAAAAATTTATTTAATCAAAAATGTGAATTGAATATGTGTTATATTATTAAATAAATAAAGCAAATAATTAAACAAATAAATAAATCAAATAAAATAAACCAATAAAAAATTATCATTGATTAATTGATAAAACTAATGAAAAGTGATAAGATCAGTAATCACTTTATAAACGTATAAAATTAATAAATAAAATATTGGCATTTATTATTAATAATGCTTTTCGTTTTAAGGAATAATTTGAACATTCTTTCCAAATATTACTAGCAAAGTTAATTACATTGATTAGTAATAATGGTTGTTATTTATTGTTATCTATTGTTAATAATAATAATAATTATTATTATTACTATTATTTCTGTTATTATCATTGTTATTATCACATTATTATTATTATTATTATTATTATTATTATTATTATTATCACTTCTATAAATTATTATCATTTAATTATTACTAATTTAAAAAATTTAAAAAATGTAAAATTTACTAGCAATAGAGAAATGATTTTCACATAAAAGCCATTCATTGCTATTAATATCATTACTATGAATCCATAAACAATAATCCAATGGTTTTAATTCAATAGGTGAGAAGCCACGACTGAAAATATTTAATAATTAAAAATTTTTTTTTAAAAAAAATTGAAATTACTTTTTTTTGAAAAAATATTAACTTGTTATTTTTTTTATCAACAAACACTTATTTTGTAAAGTTTTATAAAAAATTAATTTTGAATCATATTAATTACAAGATACCAGTATTTATACAAAAATAAATAAATAAAAATTTCGAGAAAAAAAATTATAAAAAAAATTTCAAAGGTATTATTTTGCAATAATTTTTAATTGATAATTATTGTATTCAATTTGTTTAAATTACACAAATGGTATTAATATATTACATAATTATTACAATTGTAAAGGTAAATAATAATTAATTAATTAATGATCAAATAAATTTAATAAATCATCTGATTTTTACTTTTTTTAAAATAATTTACCTGAATTTATTAAATAATTGATTTACCTGATATGATATCGTAGCATAGATGGTAGAAGTGTTGTTTCCACAAAATATGATGCCAATAATTTGTGATAATTTAAATTTTCCTCTTTATAAATTAAATAATTAATGAAAATAATGATTGCAATTTAATTTATTTAAAATAAAATACAAGAAAATAAGATAAAAATTAAATTCGAAAAAAAAAAAAAACTTTGCTAAAAAAAATTATTACTTACCAATTTTTTCTTTTGTTTTAGCCCAAATTTTCGTATAAAAACCTTTCATTGTTGCTGCTGCAAACGAATCAGCATCAACAATACGAATCTATAATATATTTTTATTTTATGCGTACGTACGTGTACGTGAATCAATTTGAAACAAATAAAAAAATAGAAACGTTTTATAAAATGCTTATAATTAAAATTTTTGTTTTTTTTTTCCGAGTAATAAAAATTATTTTTAAAAATAAGAACAATAAAAAAAAATTAATTTTAAAAAGAATAAAAGATCAAAGATTAAAAAATTATTAAATACTAAACACTAATATTTGGTACAATTTTTTGATAATTGTAAAAAAATATGGCGCAAATTGTAATTAGTCTTACATTAATGGCGCAAATTGTAATGAATCTTACATTAATGGCGCAAATTGTAATGAATCTTACATTAATGGCGCAAATTGTAATGAATCTTACATTAATGGCGCAAATTGTAATGAATCTTACATTAATGGCGCAAATTGTAATGAATCTTACATTAATGGCGCAAATTGTAATGAATCTTACATTAACGGCGCAAATTGTAATGAATCTTACATTAATGGCGCAAATTGTAATGAATCTTACGTCAAAGATATCATTGATTGGGTTTAATAATATTGCATCAGCATATTTATGAATTTCAACTGATAATGGGAAAATTTCTTCATCTTTATTTTCCAATAATTGTTTAATTGCTTCTGACAATAAATTACAAAAGTCAGGCATCGGTGTGACAGGCATGTGACACTGATGTGCTATTGATTCTCGACATGCCTGTAAAAAATAATTTTTAACAATTTCAAGAAATTATAAAATAATTTACTCAATCATTAAATGATTTGGCAAATTAATATATAATGAAGTATCATAACAAACTAAATATTTTTTTTAAAGTATGTAAATAGTAACAAATTAATAAGCAAATAATCATATAAGTAAATTTTTTTTAATGAATAATCAATAAGCTTAATTTTTTTTTTTTAATAATATTAAGGAAAAAAAGATTCTTATATACTTTTTGTTGTTAAATATAAGAGTAAATTATTAATAAATTCTTTTTGAAATTAATAAAATAAAATGAATTAGGTTGATTTGTTGTTTTTTTAAGATAAATAAAAAAGATTTGAGATGCATATGAGAAATAAATTCATTTCTTGCATGAATATATATATTTATAATACTTAAATAATTTTTACTTAATACTTATATATATAATTTAATATTTAAACATTTTATGAGCATAAATATAATACTTAATTTCTGTTAATGCTTATATGTGATTTAACACTTAAAAATTTTATAATGCTTGAACATATATATGGATATTAATACCTAAATTTCTAACTTAAAATTTTAACTTTAACTTAAATTAATTACTTAAATAATTATTAAAGTTTTTACTTCATGAAATGAAACTTCTGCTTTAATTGCTAATTTGCCATCTTGTAAAACGTTTACTTCTCGAATACATAAATCATCGTTTGTATGAATATCTTCTACCTGATACATAATTGGTGATGGTCCAGCTACTAAAATAAATTAAATTTAAATTTATTCCTTTTTTTTTTTGGCAATTATTATCATTTATTATAATTATTCGTATCAGTTAAAAATAATTTCTATTTCAAAATAATATTTTCTATATTTTTTTATTCTCTCCTTTGTTTTTTTTTTTTTTTTTTACATTCAAAAATTAACAAATATTTATTAAATTTTATAAAATTATTAAAATAAAGTGACACTTAAAAAATTATATGATATTAAATAATGCTTATTTCCTTGAATTAATTGCATTTTCATTGAACGTTTTTTTTTTTTTTTTTTCAATAAACTTTTTTTGGAAGATAAAAGATAAAAGAAAAAGTTTGAAATTGCAAATTAACAATTTTTTATATTAACATTCCATTTAGTAAAATTTTATTAGTTTGATTATTTTTTTTTTGTTTACTAAATTGAATTCATTTGTAAATATAATATTTAAAAAAAAAAAGCAAATATTTGAAATAATAATTACTTTTATTACAGAAATATGCGTGGCAACTATTTAGAGCCATTTTTTGTGGAATATTTTTGATTGCAGTTGCCATTGCACGTGATACGATTAATCCATTTGGAATTGTTAATTTAGTTGGTTCATATCTAAAAATAAACAAATAAATAAATAAATAAAAATTATATAAAAATCATATAAAAAATTATATAAATTATATCAAGAATAAATAAAATTATATGAAAATCTTATAAAAAATTATATAAATTATATTAAAAATAAATAAAATAATATAAAAATCATATAAAAAATTATATAAATTATATCAAGAATAAATAAAATTATATGAAAATCTTATAAAAAATTATATAAATTATATTAAAAATAAATAAAATAATATAAAAATCATATAAATTTGCATAAATTCAAAAATATTATATTTTCATTTTATGATAAAAATTAAGATTAACATTCCTATTTTATGATAAAAATTAAGATTAACATTCTTATTTTATGATCAAAATTAAGATTAACATTCCTATTTCATGATAAAAATTAAGATTAACATTCTTATTTTATGATAAAAATTAAGATTAACATTCCTATTTTATGATCCAAATTAAGATTAACATTCTTATTTTATGATAAAAATTACGACTACGAATAAAAAATTACGGTTAATGTTTGCATTTTGTGATAAAAATTACGGATCAGAATAATCACAATTAAATTTATTAAATTAAATACTAAAATTTTACTTTATGATTAAAAATTAAGAATTAAAACAATCATAACAAATTTATTGAATTAAATGCTAAATAAATTAATACACTTAAAATGTTAACTTCTAATATCATTTATTAATATAAAATTTTGAAAATATTATTTGGTTTTATTTTAACAAATATTTAAGCAATTCGATGCAACTTTTTGCCCATTCTAAAAATATATCAAATAATTAATTTAAATTAATAATTATTAAGTAATTAAAATTAATAATTATGAATTAACTAACCTGTAAGTATCGGTGCTTATTTGTTCCAAATCGAATAAATTTTTAGCATCCATTAAATTGCTAGTAGTAAATAACTTCGAATTATATGACAAATGATGCGCAAATTGAATATACCGATGAAATGCTATAAATTAATTAAAATAAAAGTATTAGGTTAAACTAACTTAAATTGAAGTTAGATTAATCACAGAATATTTTTTAAGTAAGCAAATAATGGTTAGATTTAATTTAATATTTGATAAAAATAATATAAATTGTGATTTGTTCATTTTTCTGTTTCATTTTATAAAGTTAAAAAATTTAATTTAAAAACATTAGAAAGAGAAAAAGCACAAATCTTTTCTTTTTTGTCACTATTTTGTTATTTCAATTATATTTTTAGAAAGTAAGTAACTATGATTCGTTTAGTTATTTATATTTGGTAATAAAATATCTAATTTATGTATAAGTTTTGATTTTTTTTTTTCAATTAATGAAACAAATTTTTTAATAAAATTACAATGCGTAGGAAATTTTTCATTTATTTTTAAATTATCAAATGAGATTTAATCAAAATAGGCAATGTAAAATGGCACAAAATAATGATTCAATTGATTTTGATCAATTATTATGTAAAATTATGTTAAATATTTAATTCGAAATGATAATTTAAATTAATTATTATTTAATTGCTGTATATCTGAAAGGAATAATTGATAAATGATGGAATTAAAATAGAATAATTAAATTGATGAATGCTTGATTCGAAGCAATTCATACGTTATTGTTATGTAGTTTTCTTTAAAAAATTAATCGACTAATAGTAATTAAATAATAATTTTAAATTAAATAACTGAGTAATGAATAAATCTAATTATGCATGCTATTAACAAAATATTAAGGATAATATGTTATCAATTATTTTATAATCATTTAATTTTATTAAATTAAAAAAAAACGAAATTAAGCTAAAATTACGATTTATTTTTTTCTGCTAGAAAAAAATTTATTTCTGTTTCAAAAATTTTCATCTAAAAACGATTATTAAGCAAAATGAAATTAATAAATGAAGGAATTAAATGATGATAAAATCAATGATAGATTAATACATAAAGTGAACTGAGCAAATTAAATCACACAAATATTTTGCTAAAGTTTTTATTGAAATTTAATTCCCTTCAAAAATTTAATTCAATATTTTTTTATCAAAATTAGTTATTCAAAATAATTATTATATTTGTAACAATCGTCAATAACAATTCAATGAATGTAATGAAAATGAAATGAAAATTTTAATTTCATATTTTTTCATTTAAATTTAAATTTTCTAAATTTACTTATTTAAATTCAAAAAAAAAAAAAAAAGATGAAGTATAATGATAACACATATATGTGTAGAAGTGAGATTTAAGTAATACTCTAACAGCGATGAATAAATCTTTGAAACATTGCGAGAAAAAAGAAAAATCAATAGCTTAAAGGGAAGATTCTTCGAAAAAATTTTTTCAAACTTGCAAATAAATTTTTCAAATAAAAATAAAATTTCCTTCAAAAAAATATTTAAAAATGTACCAAAAAGAAAAAAAAATTTTTTTGAAAGTTTTTTATTATTATAAAACATATTTTTTTAAACTTATTAATTCATCAATATGTGAATTATTAAATATGATTAATCCAATGAATAAATTATAATTTTTTATCCAATTCATTAAAATAAAATTTAAGATAATTTTTTTTCTGTAAATTTTTCAAATTAACAAAAAAAAAAAAAGAAACGAAATTAAAAATAAAAAATTTTACGATTCATTCGTAATAACTATAATTAATAAATAAATAATTAAATTAATAATAATTATAATTAGTAATAAAAATAAAAAATAATTCGGTGTAAATGGATCAATCAATAAACTATTTTATTTTAAATTTATATTTGAAGTATTTTTTATAATATTTCAATCAATGAAAATATATATATATGTATAATTTAATCGATAATTTTAAAGATTTGAAGAAAAAATATATTTTTTTTCTTTTCTGTCAAAATTTCAATTTATCATTATTTTATATCTTTTATGGCAAATGAATAAATTAACGAGATTGAAAAAAAAAATCCATTTTTCAATTCAAAATAAATCATTTTCTCATTTTGTTTAAATAAAGAAGGAACAAATTTTAATTAAAGCATTCTTTGATATAAATTTTTTTTTAAAAAAAAAAAACTATTTTTGTCTTATTTTAGTTTAATAATTACAAAATTAGTTTTTAAGTTACAAATTTAAATACACACTAAAGTTACCACAAAAAAAAGAAGAAATGAAATAAATGAATAAATTTTAGCTGCTAATTAAATATTAACTTAATATTAAATATTGATTTAATTTTTGCTGTAAAAAAGTAAAAACAAAAACAAATTTTCTTTTCAAGATTTGTAATGAAATTTTCATTTCTAATTTTTCATTACCTTTTCACATACTTTGAAAATTTGTTTTTACTTAATTTAATTGTCAATTATTTTATATAATTTAGAAAATTTTACAAATAAAATTTGCTTCCAATTATATATAAAATAGTTATTATAAATTAATAACCAAATATACTAATAGGTATTATATAAAAATAATATTAAAAAATTAATTGATGAGCTTATGAAGTATAAAATTATTTTATTTTAATTTTTATGCTAATTTTTCATTACCTTTTCACATACCAAAATTTTCATATTCTATCATTAATTGTGAATTATTTCATTTAATTCAAAAATTTTTAAATTATTTTTTTTTTTACATTTTATAAATATTACTAACAATTTATGGAATTAATAGAGAAACTTAAGAAATATAAAATTATTTCGTTTTTTTAATTCAATCATCAATTATTTTATATAATTTAAAATTTTAAAAATTTTTTTTTCTTTGTTTACATTATATAAATTAGTAGCAAATTATATTAATTGGAATTTGTATAAAATTAATATTAATAAATTAGTAAAAAAACTTAAGAAATATTTTACTTTTTTTTTTAAATTTTTTGTTTTTTTTATTTTTAAATAACAAAAATGAAAGCAAACCATTAGTTAATTGTTGTAAAAAATCGAATTTTTTTCCAAAAATTGAAAGAGATTGAATAATGCCAGAACGTATAGCCATGTTGAAAAATTTCATTATCTCAATGAAATAAGTGAAACTTTTCAATGGTACAATTTATATTATTCATTTTTAAACGATTTCCATTTATAGAATTTTACAAAAGTTTTTTTTTTCTTTTCTTTTTTTTTTTTTTAAATTTTATTTTGTCATTATTTTTCATTCGTGTGTGGTAAAACGAGAAAAATTTCAAATAAATTACACAAATTACAAAAAAAAAAAAAAGATCCGTTTTCATATCAAAATTAAACTTTGTGCTCATTTATTAAAAAAAAAAAAAAAAATTAGGAAAAACAAGAATTTTGAAATTATAAAGTTAATTCTAAAAAAAAAAAGATAAATAAATAAAAGATAATTAAATATGAAATTAAATAAATATTTTCATTTTAGCACTCATTTCTTTCTCACTAATTATTCTCATATTAAAGAATACTTTTCGAAAAAGAATAAATTAGAAAAATTTAATTTAAATTTTATAAATTAAATTCAAATCAAAAAAAAAAAGCGAATATATTATCAAAGAGTAAATAATAATGTGAAAAGGAGAAAGGCTAATGTAATTTTTAAAATGCTATACTATAAAAATTTAAGAGTTAACTTTATCATTTTATATATAAAATAATTTTTTTCAATTTTTTTTTTTTTTTTGAATGAAATATTGAAAATTTATATTATTTCACTAATTATTCATGTACTAAAGAGCATAAAAATAAAACTTCCTTTTTCTTCAAAAAAAAAAAAAGAAAAAAGAAGCAACATTTTAAAATTTCAAAACTGAAATAACGTTTAATGTCTCATTTTAATTTAATAAATATTCAAAAAAAAAAAAGAAAAGGAATAAAATATCATATTTAAAAAAAAAAAACATATTAACCAATAATAAACAAACAGAAAAAAAGGAGTATAAAATATATTTGCATAAATTACACAAATTATATCTCATTTTAATTTTTGATATATTTTCAAAAATATTAATTTAATTATTTCAAAAAAAAAAAAAAAAGGAAAAAAAGAAAAGAAATTAATAGCAAAAGAAGCAAACCATTAGTGAATTGTTGTGATAAATTGAATTTTTTTCCAAAAATTAGCATAGATTGTGCACTGGAATAATTTATAATATTCAAAAATTTCATCATTGTTGTGAAAAAAAAAAATTTGATTAATGTGTATTTGTTTACTTTTATTATTTCAAATTTCACTCAATGTTTTGTTTTGTTATGGAGAGTGAAGATTAATTGTTGTATACAATAAGACTATTTGTGCAGGTATTTTCAAAAGGTAAACATTATCGAAAGGTAAAAAGTTAACTTTACAAATAGACAATTCTTTGTTTGTCTATTATATTCTTTGATGTAATATTTGTAAATAAATATTGCATCAAACTTTTTGCTATTATTGATTTGAAATTAGTTATAAATTGAAAAAACATAATAATAATAAAAAAATAATACATATTCATATATTAATTTGAATATTATTCATTTATATAAAATTAATTGATGCATTTCTGTTTGTTTTTTAAATTCTTTGCAAAATACTTATAAATAGTTGTTGACTACAAAAATTTATATTAATATTATTTACTATTGCAATTATTATTGATTAATAGTCTCTTTGGGAACATATTTCTAAGATTTAAATATTAATAGTAATAATAATAATAAAAGATTGATTTTTAAGTTTATAAGTAAATTTATGCAATTTTATTTTTATTTCTTAAATTTTAAATTTTGAAAAAAGTTAAATTTTGAATTTCTAGAACTCAGTAATAAGAAAAGTTTTTCTATTTCCGATAAAAATTTTAAATCGAGCAATAAGAAAAGCTTTATTTAATTTCATTTATGTTTTTTATTTGTTTGCTTGTTTGTTTGTTTTTTGTTTATTTTTTGTTAGAAGTAACAATAATATTTCAACAATTACAATGCAATATAATCAGTTCCTTTTTTTTTTTTAATTTTTGTAAATTGACCAATTAGTTTTAATTATTAAAGTTAAAAGAAGTAATCCATATAATAACATACATTTCATTTTATTCCTTTTATAAATTTTTATTGAAATAAAATGAAACTTTGAATTGTAATGAGAAAATTTTCATTCAAATTCTTTTTTTTTTTTTTTAAAGATTATTTCTATTTCAAAATAAATGACAGAGAGAGAGAAAGAGAGAGAGAGAGAGAGGGAAAAAAAGCACAAAATTATATAACAGTTAGTTGTCAACGTTTAAGAATTTTATCAAATTTGGCAAATTTTTTTTTTTTTAAATAAATTAAATTGTAATATTAACTCTTTTTTTTGAAATAAAATATTGTAGAAAAAAAAAGAGAAAATACGAATAAGTGAGATGAAAATTTATTCAAATAAAACTAAATAAATAATTGGAAATGGTGTAAATAATATAATTTCAAATTAGAATTAATAAATATGAAAAACAACAAATTGTATTATAGTTGGTGAAAAAAAAAAAAATTAAATTAAACTATTTGTTTTCCAAAAAATGTTACTTATTATTAAATAAGTAAAACATAAACTAAATTATTTTTTTTGTTTTTCTGTTTTTTTCTTTAAAAAAAATTCTATACGATAAGAAAATGACAAAATTTCATTTATTTTTTACATTCGTTGCTTATTTGAAAAGAATAAATTTCTTCTAGAAAATGCATATATTTCACTCAATTAACTAACCATAAAATATTTGCAATTCAGAATTTTTTTTTTCTTAGAGTTAGAAAATAATTCTAAAAAATACTACAGGAAAAAAGTATTTACATATTTTAATATATTCAAAATTTTTGAAAGCAATAACTTAGCACATTTGAAACTTTTCAAAGGAATAAATTAGCATATTTAAAAGTTTTCAAAGGAATAAATTAGCATTAGCATAATTGGAACTTTTCAAAGGAATAAGTTAGCATATTTAAAAACTTTTCAGAAGAATAATTTGGAACTAGTAAATATATTATGATTTAAATGCTAAACTTTTCTTCCAATATTGATCTTATGTCATACATACTTTTGCATTATTCGCTAATGTCCCATTTTCATTCGTTTCAAATAAAAATTTAAAACTTTTATCGATTTTTTTTTTCCCTTTAAGGGAAAGTAAAAATGATATGGTTGAGAGAATATTTGATAATATATCTAAGCTTTTCTCTATTTACCCAAAGCTTTGCAATTAATCATTTGAAATTATTGCCTATACGTCATCGCACTCAAATCAAATCCATCTTTAAAATATCTATGCCTATTGACTTCAAATGTACTTCACTAGCATATTTGCTTGCTAGCTAGCTATAAGCTATAGCTTATAAATTTTGCAATTTGCAGCTATGTAAATTTACCCAGAATTCACGTCAAAAATTATTAATACTCTAAGAAGTAAACTTTAAAGTAAATTTGCTTGAAATTTCACTAAAATATTTAACATTGTAAAAGTAAATTGCAAGAAAATAATACATAATCATAACTGTTTGATTTATAAAAAATTCATTCCTTTTCTTTCTTTTTTTTTTTTGATGTAATTTTATTATTTTACCGATGAAAGAAAAAAAAAATGTTTGAATTTTTTTTTGCATCAAAAAACATGAATGATTGTTTAATTGTAGACAACAAAAATTAATATCTATGATGATGAAAAGATAGAATGCAAATTGTTCAAGAAGCAATAAAGTCGCCTGTTAAACAAAAAAAAAAAAAAAAAAAATTTTTTTTTTTTCAAATAAAAACTGATATAATTGAAGGTTGAAATTTTTAATCCCAATATAGAATCTTTTACTCTCTTTATGATAATAGATTTTTCATTTCAATTTTTAACTTAATTATTGCATTCCGCTTAACAAAACTATGAAAGAAGTCATTTGTTTACAGTAAATTTATTAGAAAAACTACTACGAATTGGAGGTTTTGAAAGTATTGTAAAAACCAATAAGACACAATGATGAGAAAAAAAAAGAATGAAATGAAAATTTTAAACAAAACAATAAAATCATTCCAAAAATACTTTTCATTACATTTAAATTTATGCAATATTAGCGAAGATCAAACAACTACAAAAGATAAAAACAGAATAAATCAATACTATGAATCTTAAAATGGAAAATTGTACTAAAAAAAAAGCTGATAGCAAATATGTAAAATGAAAGAATGAATCAAATGAATAAAATTTTAACATTAAATAATATGATAATAAAATTATACAGCATTGAAACTTAAATTAAATATCATTAAAATCTCAAATTAAATATCATTGAAACATTGCATCAGTACAGATTTCATTTATCCATTTAAATTGATATTAGTTAGATGCTCGGCTGCTCGATTTGTGATATTTAGTGGTGGATATATTAGTCGTAAATTAGGCTCATGCAACAAAGACAATGCAGATATGCTGTAACATGTATGCAATGCATCTGAAATTATAAAACTATGAATTAATGAAATGAAAAATTAAAAGTAATTCTATTTCAACTAATATTTGTTAAGCATAAAAGAGCAAAATTTTTTTGATAAATAATCTCAAATTTTTTAAAATTTTCATAAGCAAAAATTGAGAGAAGAGAATATCTTCCTTCCTCCCACTTTTTTTTTTCTTTTTTTTTTTCAATTCCACGATGCTGCTTTCAATTAGAATTCAGATCTTAGAATCAAAATAATATTTAGTTCACCGTGAGAAAAACAAAGATTTATGACTTAAAATTATGCAAATAATTACATTTACTCCTTTCCCACATTTAAATTTTTTGCAATGAATATTTTAAAACATACCAGGTACAACATCACTAAACTTGCCAAAACCTCCTAATTCTCGATCCTGAGTTGAGTAAATGAAAGATCGTAATCGCTCTCTATCCACAAACATATAAGCATCCAAAATCTGAAATTAAAAAAAAGAAAAAATTTCGCTCAAAGTAGAAAATTTAGAGGGAAGTGAAACATTCGAACAGCAAATTGAAAAAAAAAAGGCGCACAATTTGAAAATATAAAATGCTATTATCAAAGTAACATTTCAGGATGAAACTTTCATCCTGCAGAGATAAATTGAATGACAAAATTCTAATTATATAACTATATAAGAAATGAAAACAAATAAAAAGAAATATTATTTACTGCTTTTTTGAACTTAAAATTTACACACCTTAAGTGTTCCACCAATCCAAAATGCATAGCAACTATCATCTGGCTTATTAGCTCGACCGTGAAAGCCTTCATCTTGCTTCCATAACGCCCATTTCACAAGTCTTTCAATTTGTTTATGTGTTAGAACACTCTCATCCCATAGATGTCCTGCCATTGCTAATGCAGCTATAGCACAAAATGTTGAGCCTCCTGAAATTTTAAATAGTTCTAACAATAATACTGATAATAATAATTGATAGTATTAACACTTGTTCATTAGTTCTAAACCATCTTATAACTCTAAACGCTTATAATGTTAAAAAAAAATGAACTGAATAGCTGCATTAGATTTAAATAAAGACATATTTCAATTTAAAGATTTATTTCAAACACTACTCACTGCTTATGCTTACCTTAAGTTTGTTTAAAAAGTTGCTATTCGTTTTACACTTTGCTTAAACTTTTACATTTATTTGAGCTCTTTTACGGATTCTTCTACGTACTTTTCTGCCTTTATTTTTTCCTCAATTCACTTACGAAATATGGCTTATTTGGAAAGGATTTTTTTCACAAAATTTCATCCTGTCATTGAAATAACTATTTAAAAAAAACTGCTAACCATGACTTTCAAGAAAAGGCGCTTGACCGATACCGCCATCAAAATTAACACATCGTTGAATAAATTTCAGCACTGATTTCATGTTGATTGCACTAAAATCATTGAGTATATAACATATCGCAATAGCACAATACACAAAACGCATATCATTTTCCGTTCCTTGTTGTCCTCGAAAACTGAAAAATAGCAATAATTATTTCTTTTTCTTTTTTTTTTTTTTTTTTGAAAGATTTGATATTTAAAATCACTAATGATATTATCTTCTTACATCTATTCTCAATAATCTATGTTAATTCATAAATAAAAAATTAAATTACAAATTTTATCCAATAAAATACTAATTATTAGAAAGTGAAAGAAACAAGTAAGACTGAAGAAAAACGATAAAATTAGCAATACAAAATTCCAACTATTCTATTCTATTCATCCATGCAAAAATTTTAGTTCAAAGATTTGAAAAATAAAAAATCCAAACCTTCCATCACTAAGCTGATCACAACATATTCCTTCCAGTACAGCTTTCCTATCTACTCGACTTAAATCATCTCCAAGAATCAACAAAGAACAAAGAGCTACATAAGTCTGTGAAATATGAGCACTATCATACAAAAAATAATTCGTTGTTGTATAGGTATCCAATTTTGTAACATCTACATCATCACCACTACTATAGTTACGCGTTTCATACCATAATGGCTTAGAAAAACCAAGAGATCCACGAAAACCGTATGCTTCCTTTGGACAACCTATAAAATAAAACAGTCAAATTAGAATATGCAAAAAGAGTAACAAATTTTTAAATCGATAAGAAAAATTTCTGAAATTACAACAATATCTCAAAAATGCAATGAAGGAAAAAAATGAAAAATGTAAAAAAAAAAAAAGATATCTTTCCTATCCGAAATGCAAGCAAACATGTTAGCTGTGAAAAGAGTATAAATGAATGAGATTTTTTATCATAGAAAACAAAGGAAATAAAAAGTATAAATGCAATCATTGGGTAACATATGTGAAGAAATGTTGAAACAACAAAACTGCAATAATCCCAACTTCTGGAATTGCAGTAATTTCAAAAAAAAAAAAAAAAAAAAGACTTCAAATCTCCTTAACTAAACAAATAAAAACACAGTTTAAGACGCGAAAAACAAATTTACAGATTATTTTCAAAATCATTCATAACATACATTTGATAGTTTATTATTTCATTCTCAGTTCTTATTTTCACAATTTTAAGAATCCAGCAAAATACAACGTTTCCCATAATCACAATTTATCCATCATTTTCATAGCTCTATTATCATTTGTAAGAAAGAATTTAAAAACTTCATTTCTACCAAATTATTTGGTAATTTCCTAAATTTATTTCTGTATATTAACTTTACCTGACAAGATTTTAAGAAAAAAAAATTGCAAAAAAAAAAAAGAAAACAGAGAAAAACGTATTATAACAAGTAATAGTGAATTCTTTAGTGGAAATACCTATCCCAACCTTGTAATACAATTTTTGAAAAAAGTTGCTCATCAGCAACATCTCTCACTATTTCTGGTTCAGGATAGTTATTTTCAGGATGTGTATCCAATGGCTGCAATGTTCCAGCATTAGCATTCAGAAGAAGATTTTCTGAAGTATCAATATCAGATTCCACATCAAAAATATTTACTTTTTGCTGATGAATATCAGAATGCACATTATCCGACCTAAAAAATTTTTGTCAAATCTGTTAAAAAAAGTGCACGATAAAAAAACATCTAAAATTAAAGGATTAATAAACTGAGAGGAAAAAAAGTTCAAACAATAGATAAAGCATACATATGAAGAAAAAACTCTCAACTATTCCAAATTTAAAATCACTTTGCATAAGATTACTATTTATAATTTTATTATCCAAAGTTACTATGATATTTATGTTACTTACCTTGTTATATCAAGAGTATTAACATCAATTATATCTTTCATTTTGGATGCACCTCTCCACAGCATCTTCTCTGATAGATACTGATCATTGTGAGTACTAATTTGTTCATACCATAGACTTCCATCATCCATCATTCGAAATAAAAACAATTTCTCATTACCGGAATCAGTATCAGTATTGAGGAAAGAAAGAGCTCGTGTTGGTCCACTTCCAAATAAAAGCCTTTCAGCTAGACGTGGAATGTGTACATTATACTTAGGTTGCTCTCGATAAAATTCAACTGCACTACGAGGTTCTTGTAGTCGTTTGATTGATGCTAACGATGACCACATCGTGCCATGCAAATGACGATACAGAGAAAATGTTTGTACATCAGGATGTATGGTATGTTGCAAGACAAAGATCGGATAAATAGTGCCATTTCGATCAGTATCTCGAATAGGTGGAGCACTTGTAATATGATGTCCACCATGATAGATGCTATGAGATGATTCCAAACAAGTAAGTCCACGCATTCGCTCATCCACAAGCACAAACCTTTCAAATTCATACATTCAATATTACACTTATGTAATCTAAACTCATTAACAATAAGATTTTAGTGTGAAAAAACAAAATCTTACTTTCTCGATGTACAAATAAGAAGCATTTGTGGAACATCAGGAAGACTGTATAACTGATGTATTCGTTCCTTCTCAAAAGCACCTTTGTATTGAAAATGATATGAATTCCGCGATGTATCATCATATTCAGGAACAGTATAAAGTAAATTACCTGTAAATTATCTGTAATCAATTAATTTTTTTTTTCTGCACCACTAAACTAAATGCATCACTTCAGAATTCAAAACAATCAACCGATAAATTCAATATTAAACTATTATTTACCAATCATCTCATTCATGTACTTTGACTTTTAACAAATCTGTAATAAGACCATTCACTAGGAAATCAAAGGAAAAGGAGAAAAAAAATGTCAGAAGAATTCTAACCGTCCGAAACACCAACTCTCAAATCAATCAAATGAACACCGTCTTTGTTAGCTGCATATATCAATCGTGGATGGTCCGATCCAGCTATCGACTGCAACAAATTTAGAATAATCAGAGTATATGTAGCAGAAAATACACCAAATTAAATATTTACAGCACTCATTTCCTTAAATCTTTTATCACTAATAACGTGGAAAATGGATTTAATAACGGATGCTCTTAAAAAAAAAAAAAAAAAATAATAATTCTTTAACTGCTTAAATGTTAAAAATAAGATGATACTAATTTATTATTACCTTTTAGAAATAAGGTAACATAAAATTCAAATGAGTAATTTTGAAAAACAAAAAATTCAAAAAAATATGACAAGATACTAACCTCAATATCATAGCTACATTTTGTTTGAATAAAATTCCCACCCACTTCTCCATACCAAATTCGAGCACTATCATCAAGAAACACTATTTCGTCGTTCATATAAGGTATGAATGATAGAGAATGAATAGGATGATGAAAAAGTGTGGATACAATATTATTTTCCGGATCACAAAGATATAATTCTTTTTCGCTACGAGCCAAAATTCGACATCTTTCTCCAGTGGGCTTATAAGATCGAATTTCAAGTAAGGCAGTACTCACATCTAATGTTCGACAATATTCCGGATTATTAGAACTATGATTATGTATAAGTTGCTCTTCAGATATAGATATATCATTTTCAGCAGAGGAATTACAATTTCTCTCCGTTATTTCCGTGGTTTCGGAATTCTCTTGATGTTCATCCCTATCATATGATACAATTTTCCACTCATCAAATTCTTCATCTCTTAAATGATGTAAACGAAATTCCAATAAACGTTTCCTTGTTGAAAGCTCACTTACACACCAAAGTATCACCGAACCATCAGAAGAAGGATCTTCGACCACTTCTAGTAAATTTCTATTCTTCAGTCGATTACTATGAGTTTCAAAAGGCCAATGTCCTGCATGTCGCACTGCTAGACAATCTTGAACCCATGGCATTGTTCGAGCTAAAAGTTGTGGGAAACCCACTGAATGCGGTACCATATAAGGCCGTTGCCAGTGATGCGCAAGGTTATACTGCGATACATAAAAATCTTTGCTCGGACAACTGGGCCCTTGATCTTGAATAGTAGGATTGATTTTGATACCACCAAGAACAGAACATCCTGTGTCCAAAAATCCAAAATGTGGGGCTGGCGGTGCACAGAAGCCCATTATTCTTATAAAAGAAACTCTAAAACATTTGCAAATAGAAATCTGCAAAAGTTTGAACATATCAAATCATAGAAAACAAAAAAAGAATTGAAAAGAAAGTACGAATAAATGATATGGAATAAAAATAAGAATGAAATGAGACATACAACAAGAGCTTTACATTTAACAAATCAACAAAAAGAAATATGTGAACTTTGTTAGAAAAATTAACACGAAGTTTGCTTGCATTTCGTAAATACACAGTTAATCAGAAGTATTGATATTTCTTATGAAACACTTACCAGAATCACTTTTTAACTGCAAACGATAAATCCATTCGATAAGTTTTTCTCTTAACTCTGCATCCACCTCTTCCTCCAACTTTCCCAGAACATCAAGTGTCGATAAAGTGAAATAGAGAATTGCTGCTCTGAGCGAAAAAAAAAAACCAAATTTTACTAAGTTAGAATTAGCCAAAACTTTTTTCAAAAATAAATTTTAATTTCAAAATCTAAGTTGAAAGTAAATCTAGAGATTCAGTAGAACAGAAATAAGTGTCATAAATTTAATACACATATTTGTGTTTGTTTTTCTTGCAACAAAACATAAAAAATATTTTTCAAAAAATGTTTTACTTTTTTCTAGGAACATTTATTTAAAAATTCTAATATCTAACCTATTCTGATTAAAAGTTAATACTAAAAGACAGTTTCGATTACTAATAAATATGGATACTATCCGAAGCAAACAGTATAAAATAACTAACCTGTTTGAATCAAAGCTTCGATAATTAGCAGGTAACGTAATAAGATGCCCTCGTAGAAATTTCAAGTGTTGTGAAAGAAGAAGTGTTTCAGACATAAACAACAAATCTACAAAACTGGAACGAATTATATAAAATAATTCCCTAAATACCTAGTTTTCATTTTTTCTTTTTTTCAAGAGCTTAACCAAAAAGAAAAAACACACTGTTGTTCTCACCAAAAATAGAAATAAACTGAGCTTCTTCAATATTCAACCATTAAAAAACTCATTTATCACCAATCCGTTTTGATAAACTCTCCTCATCAGTCAGTTTCATCTCATCAACGATTGGTTACAGTCATCAATCGCTACAACAAACCGATCATTTCTGTCAGAGTCTCTATGTTAGGATACCAGTCAATAGTTTATAATCACTTGTTAATGAGATGATATGTCCCTTATGTTTACCAATTTTAATAGAAAAACCTGCTCATCATACTTTCCATCAATTCAATTAGTAAATAGTAAATTAGAAAAAAAACTACTTCATTCTATCAGCTGGCACAAAATGTTGAGAAAAAATGAATAAAAGAAAGAAAATAACATTCGATTAACTGGATCAAAGGTCAGAGATACTACGTCTTAATAAAGAATTATCAAAGTCGGAGATAATATATCTTAATCAAGAATTATCCTACGTCTTATATATAAGAAGAAATTATCCTGTATTTATATATGGATTATCTTGTATTATCTCGTAAAAACTGAAAGGAATGCTTAGGTGTAAATATGGTTAGGGAAAACAAACGTGAAATATTTAACAACAAAAATAGTATAACGTATTTTGAAATGTACATAAGCAAAGAAGGTAACGACTATCGAATGCCGAAAGCCATAAAAATGATGTAAAGCCATAAAAAAAAATGTATATTATCGGTATAAGATTACCAAACGGTCATAAAAATATACAAGCTTTTTTGAAATGAAATTTTATAAACTATAATAAAATATTTAACAACAAAAATATCATTCATACGAACATATTTTACAATTTACCAATTATCATCTCACCAATAATAAAGCCATAAATTTCCTAAAAGTATCCATATTTAAATCTTTTATGGTATCGAGATTTTCCGTAAACTTCCCACATTTATACAATTGAAGACCTGAAAAAAAAAATAAAAAACCAGTTAATCATCATTTTGATGAATAATAAAATTTAACTTGTTTTGAGGAACTTGAATCTAAATATATATGTTCTCAAAAAATAAGTTACCAGTCAAAACAAATAAAAATAATAAAAAGAAAAAACTGAACAAAAAATTTACCCGGTTCAATCCAAACAATATTTTTACATCGACTATTCGATCCTAAATCAAGCGTATTCAACTGGAACACAACTAAATCCAATCGACCGTTGACAAGTTGTACAGCACGTGTAACCACTGGTTGATCTATGAGAGTTTCAAAATTGGACTGACCATGTCGTGTTGCTTGTGCTACTGCCGCACCGAAGCATACCATTATCGCCTTAGCACCTAATTGTTCGCTAGAAAAATATATTGGTGTAAAATATTGCTACCCTAATAAATATTCATTAAATAAGAAACATTATTTTAACTTACAAAATTCAAACCGTAACTAAAGCTCTTCTCACTCTAAACTTTTACATAACATATTAGTTGAATATTAATTAACATATAAAATTTGAAACGATAGAAAGTCGTCTTCTTTAAAAATTTTGAAAGTAGATTTTTTTTTCCTTCTTTAGCAATAACTCATATTCACCAGTGCACTATTTATCATTTTTCACAAGTATTCTACATTATGGTAAAAATAAAAATATAGTATTATATAATCAGGAATAAATTTCTACCTTTACTTATTTTTCAGAAAAAAACTACCACATATACTGAAATCATAAGTTATTAATACAGAACTGATCATTAAAGCGCACTGGTGCCAATAGATAAGAACCACTTAAGATAGTTGATGAGATCAAACAAATGAAGTTAAGATGTCAACATAACTTACATTGTCCAAGGATATTTTTGGTTTTGTTCATGATACCACAACACCGTATCAATAAAAAGATTCTCTTTAGCTCGTGGTAGTACCACACTATCGTTATAGATGTGGTCCGAAGTGAGATCGATTCGAGGATTGATCGGCGCTGTGTCTGGTATCTTTATATTAGTTAATCTGGAAATCAAAGAAATTAATTTAAAAATCTATAAATATAATTATAAGTTGCTCTTTTTTCCATTCAATTCCTGTTTCTCAAAAACATTTGCTCTTTCTTGAAACGAAAGAGGAAAAAAGTTGTTCAAAGCAAAAGACGATTTCCTTCTTGTCAGACGTTGCAGAACAGATTATTTCCAAAACGATGCACAATTTTCATTGTTAACTTAAAATTACCTTAAAATCCTTTTATTTAATTTAAAAAAACCAAAAGATAAAAGAGATAAAAATTACCCAGCAGCTTTCGTCCACGGTTTGATAGGTTCTGAAGATTGAACAATGATGTGAGGTTCTGAACGAAGGACGAAAGGAATTTTATTTTCCACATTATCAACTTGTAACATTGCACTTAATGGTTCATCACGGTCATATCTAAAACTAATTTATCTAAAATCTCCAAATACACATATCTATTCATCAAGTTCTGGTATATAGCAACGATAACAGAAAATAATAATATTGCTCTAATTTTATCCGAATTTATTTTCTACATAAATCATTGTTGGATGAATGCCTTTAAACTAATCAAGCATTAGAAAAAAATTATTGAATTCCACTACAACATACCTAAGGTTTAATAACTGTGAATGTTGCAAAGCCATAAGATGTGCAGTGCGAAATAGATTGTCCAGAATTATTTTCCTAAATATTATAATTTTTGAACAGATGAAGAGTGGTTTTTTTTTTTTCGAATATACATCAAACAAGCCGAAATGTAGATTAGCAATTTTTACAACATTTTCCTTATGAAAAGAAAAATTCTACAAGATTCTTGTTATGCCTGAAACAAAACACACCCTCTTGTTAACAATGGAGTACCATGTACACGATATGGAAAATAATTTGTCCAAAATATAACAGGATCAAAAAGACGTGGCAATTTTTCCAACGTTGGATCATATCGCTCTCCATGCATTATACAATCACTTAAATGATTCTCGAAATGTTCAGGTAATGGTATTTTTGAAGCCTAAAATTAATCAGTGAAACTGCTGAATAGAGAAAAAATTGCAAAGCTAAATTATGATAATATTGATATAGCCATTACTTGATCTAGAAGGAAATATGTAATTAAATATATCGTCATATTTGTAAATCTATTGAATTTACAAGCATACCAAATTTAAAACGCTTTCCGGAAAACCAATCCTTTTTACTGCCTTCGACAGAGAGCAAGCCTGGTCAATCCCATCAGTAAATGCTACAGTACCATCAAAAAGAGAGCACTCAACTGATTTATAAAGCGGATGTTGCTAAAATCATGTTAACTAATTATACTATAAAACATTTCAAAATCTATTGTTATAACTATTACCATATATTTTTATAATAAATATTTCAACGGTGAATCTCAAAAAGAGAAAGGAAAATTGTTACATGAAGTTGTGGTATTTTGTGGGCAGGATGAGAAATGACTGGTAATTCTCGTTCTTCTGTTGCAAAGAAGTTTGGATCATTGGGATCATATATTTTGCATCCTGCCTCCTAGAAATGTGAAAAAAACTTGAAATTGGAAGCAAATTTAAACTTGAATATTACTTGTAAATCTCTGTGGGAAAACTGTTTATCCATTCAAATCAAAATATCAAGAATAAAATCAAGTATAGAATCTGTTAAATCATTAAATTAGTGATTTTGTAAACACAAAAACTTTTTTTACTTTCTTTGGTGCAATCATTACTCTCAGAAAAAAAAGAAAAAGGGAATTACTTCCGTTATCTTTTTATTCCCAGTATGACTACTTAATAAAAAAGAATAATGTTAATCGAGAAAGTGAATTAGCAAGAACAGAGAACATTTTATTCAGCTTAAGGCAGTATTTTTCTATTATTAAAAAAGATAAATAAGTGACAAAAAGAATGGAGTCAGTTGTCGCTTAAATCTATGACAGCTAAAAAACATTCGCTCACCCGTACGGCTGAAGAAATTATAAATGATGGCATTTTCCGTTTATTCCTTGCTGCCAGAATATTTTTAAATATCCTTGTATCCATCTTTCCCCATTGTTTTTGTGGCTTAAATTTCCGGAATACCATCGTGCTAGCTTCACAAGATTCAACATGCGCATTCAGAAACAGAATTTGTAAATTAAGTTATTCAAATCTAAACTTCAAATCTTGTTTAAAAATTCAAGTTATTACATTCAACACAGAAATTCCATATATGGCATTGTGCAACTATATATATGCAAGTCAGAAGTAATAAAGTGAGACTAATAACACTGCTAGATATTTGTTAACTAATAACAATTAAAAATTTTAAATTAAAAGAAAGAAGTTGAGAAAAAAAAAAGAAATTATTATTTCTTTATTAATTTTAAATTTCATTCTTAAAAAAAGCATTTCGAAATTTTAAAAAAAATAAGAAATTTTAAATTTCATCCCAAAAAATCATATCTTAGAACTTCAAGCTATACTAAGTCTAACTAATCAGTCAATTCAGAAAGAAATAAATAAAACATATCCAATCCTATTTATTCGTCCATTCATCATCTTTTCATTCATCTTAATCCATTCGAAAAAAAATTTTTTTTCATATTTTAATATTTCAAATTCTGCAGCAATTAAAGCAGTTTTACTTCAAAAACCAAAATTAAAACAAACAGAAGACCAAATTACAAAAAGAGATAAATTAGCTCACATAATTAAGCTAATTTATCTTAAAACTGTATCCAAGTGCATGTCAAGAAATAACGAGTTCTTCATATGCAATTCCAAAATACCATTTCTTAAATTAATGCTATATTGAAATTGCTTATTCACTAATTCATTAGTGCTATTCGAATATTTATTTGATGATACTTAATTAATTAATTGAAAAATTAAGAGAAAAAACAATTTCAAGAATATCTTTACTGTTTTTCTATTCAAAAT